TTTTTTTTGAGAGGGAGTCTCGCTCTGTTGCCCAGGCTGGAGTGCAGTGGCGCGATCTCGGCTCACTGCAACCTCAGCCTCCCAGGTTCAAACGATGTTGTACTAGCGTCTTCAAGGAGAGCTTTAGGGAGATGGGATTTCCATCCTCGGGGAATTTAAAAGCCTATACAGGTAGCATGGAGATAAATACAGCCTCGGCAACGAGAGTGAAACTCCGTCTCAAAAAAAAAAAAAAAAAAAAGAAGAAGATAGTAAATACGTCCATCACCCCAAGTTTCCTTCTGCCTAGTCGCAATTTTTCCTTATGGCACTCATTTGCCTCAGGCAACGCCACACCTCTGCTTTCTGTCACTATAGATTAATTTGCATTTTCTCGAATTTTATGTAAATGGGATCATACAGTATGTGTTCTTTTGTGTTTGGCCTTCACTCAACATAATCATTTTGAAATTTATTCATGTTGTTGCATCCATTGTTCATTCCTTTTTATTGCTTAGTAGTTTTCCATTGTATGGATATGCCAAATCTCTCCTCCTGATTTTTTGAATCCAAACACAAATCAGGTTTTTATTGTCACTACATCACTGTAACTGCTCCTACCAAGGTCACCCAACGTTAATTCTAACCAGTCTTTCCTGAACACATCCGCAGCATTTGTCATAGCTGATCTCTGCCTCGTCTTTGAAGCAGTTCCAGGTGCCTTCCAGAATGCCTCATTCTCATGGTATTCTTTCCTCGTCTCCCGACCAGTCTTGCTCCAACTCCTTGGCTGCTTTTCCCTCATCTCCAAAGGCCTCTAAACTGGTGTGTCCTGGGGCTCAATCCAATCTCTTTTCCATTTATACTCCATTGGTGATCGCATCCTGTTTTTTGAGGCAGGATCTCATTCTGTCGCCCAGGCTGGAGTGTAGTGGCGCGATCTCGGCTCACTGCAGCCTCTACCTCCCGGGTTCAAGCGATCCTCCCGCTTCAGCCTCTGAGTAGCTGGGACCATAGGCACGTGTCACCACGCCGGACTAATTTTTTTGTAGAGCTGGGGTTTCGCCATGCTGCCCAGACTGGTCTCAAGCATGTTTTTTGCTTTTAAAGTCATCTAATAAGCACCAGAGGCAGAGTTTCATAGATCCTTCCTGCCTACCCCCACTGTCCCTGCCCTCAGGCCACTCCAGCATCCGGCGGGCCAGGAACCTCAGACGATTTCTTGCCTCTTTTCTCTCTCCTCCAGGGGGCCCCGTTCGATGTCCCCATCTGCCCACAGCGCCTCTCGTCCCAGCTGCTCCTCCTGTCCTGCCCTTGCTCAGACCACCCGAGCATCATCCGTGCTCTGGCCCCTGGCCACCAGGTCCACCCCACATGCTGTCCTCACAGGTGGCGCCTCGTCATTCTTGGGGACCAGGGCCTCCTTGTTCTGGTCATACACAATGGGGTGTAGATCGAGCGACAAGTGAGCAGGTCTGCACGCCAGGTGGGCCGAGGGTGGCCATTCCGGTGTCAGTGTGGGGGTGTGAGGGAACGCTGCATGGGGTGCATGTGGGCTGGGTGTGGCATGCGGCGGTGTGGCACCAGGCAGGTGGCTTGGCGGGGCCCACGATCAGCGCATTTGAGACCATTAGGACGGTTAAAACCGTTAACTGCCTGTCGTGGCGAGGGCGGGGCCCTGGGGAAGGGACGGAATCCCAGTTGGTCGAGACACCGGGGGCGGGGCCGCGCGTGCTGCCGTTAGGACAGTTAAAACCGTTAGCTGCCTGTCGTGGCGGGGCGGGGCCCTGGGACGGGACGAAATCCCTATTGGTCAGAAGAGGACCTGGGGGCGGGGCCGCGCGTGCTGTGGCAGCTGCAGCTGGACGCGGCCACCTCGAAGCCACGTCAGGGCAGCCCCAGGTCGGGCGCGCGCCAGCAGCAAGAGGTGGGGACAGGAGGGGTTTGGGTAGGGTGGGCTGGGGGAAGGCGGGGGGAGGGGCTGAGAAGCCGGATGGGGCCGTGGGTCTGGGTTCAGGATTCCAGGGGTCCTCCCGGGCTTTCCCGGGACGTTGGTCTTATAGTCCCTCCCCTGCCGTTTCTTTCCGAATGGCGATGGCAGCTCTGGCTCTTGAAGGAGGCTTCACTTCCGCGCTTATCTTTGGAGAGCAGTTTTCATTCGATTCACAGGGTTCTGCGACCTCCTCTCCAGATCCCCGCCTGGAGTTGAGTGAGACCGCGTCGGCCCGGGCGGGGGGGCAGAGTGAGCGGAAACCCAGAGAAGCCCGCTGGGATTTCTCTTTGATTATGAGTAGGGAAAACCCTGTGAGGCCTCTGGAAAGACATGAGAAGGATTTGGTCTAGGAGCTCAGAGCGTGTCTCCAGGTAAAGAAGAGGCGGAAAATTAGAGAGGACTGCCGGCCATTGGTGTTTGATGCGGGCCTGGCGGGGGCCACAGGGGGCCTGACGTCTGAGTAAGAGACCTGCTTTATTCTGCTAGAACTTTCTGCAGTGGAGGAATGGGAGGGGCACCTGGAGGGCCTCATATCGCAGCCTCAAGATTCTTGCAGTAGGCCGTCCGCGAAGGCTGACGCCACGCTTTGGAAGGCTGAGGCAGGTGGATTTCCTGAGGTCAGGAGCTCGAGACCAGCCTGGCCAACATGGCGAAACCCCGTCTCTACCAAAAATACAAAAATTAGCCGGGCGTGGTGGCGCATGCCTGTAATCCCAGCTACTTGGGAGGCTGAGGCAGGAGAATCACTAGAACCCGGGAGGCGGAGGTGGCAGTGAGCCGAGACCGCGCCACTGCACTCCAGCCTGGGCGACAGAGCAAGACTCAGTCTCAAAAAAAAAAAAAAAAAAAAAATTAGAAAAGATTCTCACCTTAGAGTTGACGACGGTGGTCAGATGGGGTAGTCCATGCCACTGGGGGTGATTCTCTCCCCCTCACGTGTTCCTCCCTTGTTACCCACCCTGCCAGGGCCCTTCCCTTGTATGCAGTTCCATTCCTTCTATGCACTCAACTTTTTCTCCCCTTTTATGCTTCCTTTAATAGGAAAGTGAGTGAGAGATGAAAGTTTTTAATCTGTGCATTTCAGTTTTCATTTACCTTGGAATGACCGGTGTTCCACCTTAGAATGAATACCTCTTACTAGTATCTTCAAAGAGAGCTTTAGGGAGATGGGATTTCCATCCTCTGGGAATTTAAAAGCCTATACAGGTAGCGTGGAGATAAATACATGCACAAAAGAACCTGAGTTTCAGTACATTAAGCCCCAGCTGGTTCTTAGACATATTGAGAATAAGGGTGTACTTACCATATTTGTTGTTGTTGTTTGTTTTTTTTTGAGACGGAGTCTTGCTTTGTTGCCCAGCCTAGAGTGCAGTGGCACGATCTCCGCTCACTGCAAGCTCCACCTCCCAGGTTCGCGCCATTCTCCTGCCTCAGCCTCCCGAGTAGCTGGGATCGCAAGGGCATGCATGCCACCACGCCCAGCTAATTTTTTGTATTTTTAGTAGAAACGGGGTTTCACTGTGTTAGCCAAGATGGTCTTGATCTCCCGACTTCGTGATCCGCCTGCCTCGGCCTCCCTAAGTGCTGGGATTACAGGCTTCAGTCACTGCACCCGGCCGCTTACTATAATTTAAAAAAATTGGGGGCCGGACGCGGTGGCTCAAGCCTGTAATCCCAGCACTTTGGGAGGCCGAGGCGGGCGGATCACGAGGTCAGGAGATCGAGACCATCCTGGC